CCCCAAAACCCCAAAACCCCAAAACCCCAAAACCCCTCAGACATATTAAAAAATTGATAGTAAGGTAATTATTAATAAATGGAAAGTTCATCGCAAAAGCAACAGCAAAGAATCAGGGTTAGAGAGTAAGTTATAGTTAGGCATATAACTGCTCAGATTATATTGAACCTTAGTCAGATCATTTTTAACAATGAGTGAATTATCCACATCTTTTTATAACATCTAGGACTTTTAGGAAAAATTTGGGTGAAGAATATCTATACATTATCAGAATATATTAAATCTTTTTTCTGTGGACTTAAATATAGATTTGGATTCAGTTTATAATATCAGCATAATTCTATCAGACGATGCTTTATTCTCAACATTGAGCATCATTCGGAGCAAGTTTGAGATATATTGATAATTTTCAGCCTAATTCTTCAAATAAATAATTAGGATATTCAAAAATTTTCTTCATAATCTGAAGTCTTATGGATTTACTGAAAAGTTATAGATTGGAAAAAAATAGGAAGCAATTGAATTAATTTTTATTGCTTTTACAAATTAAATTTTCCAATAGGTTATTAAAATAAACCTTATAAGTTATCAATTAATCTCTGAAGGCCAATCTCTTATCTTTTCTTAACAGATTTCACCAAATATATAGTCTTGAGAAAAGGATTCATGAAGAAAGTAAAGAATTAGACAATGCAGTGAGAAATAGTCTTTATTTTAACACTTATCTACAAGAAATTAAAATCAAGAAATCAGATGGAGATTCTACTGCTGATAGCAGAGGACCAGCTATTCGTATTGAATTGTATTCTCAAAGTGATTCTAACTTTGCTTATCATGCACCATCTAAATTCTTCAAAGCAGATGTTTTTGCTTTGGAAATAACAAAAAAACAAAGCCAGTCCACCCATAATTTGCTTGCTTCAAAACTTCCAGAGAAAATTAATAAATTTTCTCTGAATATTCAGAATGTATTTATCTTAAATAACTCACTTTATTTTAAAGAAGTTATTAGAATCAGCCACAAAATCTTAAAGCTGATAGAAATCTTTGGATTCAGAATCACCCCTCCAAAGTTGAGAAGATTCTTCAGTTCTTTCAGTCATGTAGAGACTATCAGTCTCTATTATTGTAAATTACCAATTGCAGATGCTACTGATTTCTCAGGATTACTAGTGAATACCAACATTTGGAGATTAATTCTAAGCTCAATATTCTTCGTAGATCTCAATGGGTCAGAGAGTAACCCAAAAGGCTTTGCTACTTTGATTAAAGGACTAGCTACTTCTTCAGACCTAAAATCAAATTTACAAGAAATGTTTATTAATACAAATAAGTTAACCCATGATGAAGTAAGAACAATCCTTGACTCAAACGGGTTTGACAAAGTTACACTTCTAGAATAATCCTATTCAATAATATAACACCAACCTGGGGTTTTGGGGTTTTGGGGTTTTGGGG